AGGCAATATGCCTGTAGTGGCCCAAGCCAGAGGTCGGGGGGGAGGGGCTAGAGCATGCCTTTCTGCTCGGCTGGAGCAGACAGCTTGGGCCAAGGCTAGCCTGTCCACCCTGCAAGGGGGTGGGGGTTTACAGGGGAGGTGAAAAGCATCCCGTGATGCTGGGGGACTGTGCATTAACTTGAATCTGGAGGGGATCTGGGACCAGACATTCAATACACAAATTTAACCTAAATCAGTGAAGTCTGATACTACATCCATCCAGGTCTATCTTAAACCAGGTGGCCATTTTGAGAGCAGTTTGTGTGTGCTGCACTTCTGGGCTAGGAACAGACATTACACATAAACTGGTTTAAGTGATCAGAAACTGGTTTAAACCTGTAACAGAACAGATGTTCAGTGCACATAAACCAGTTTGAATGGTCGAATGGTTCGAAATGGCCGAAACTGGTTTGAGATAAACCTGGCTGAATGTAGTATGAGACTTTACTGATTTGGATCAAACTGGTTTATGCAATGTCTGTCCCAGACCCCCAGCAACTTAAATCAGAGTCCCCCAGCATCCCAGATGCTTTGCAGCCCTGGGCGGGGCTCTCTGCTCCAGAGTTGGGCTGGCCTCGCCCCTCTGCTCCCTGGCTGCAGCTCTGGCAGAGACTGCAGGCACAGTGGCATCAACCTGGTTTCTTCCTGCATCGCCCCCCCCCTTCCTCTCTCCCACAGCACAGACCGTAGCCAGCACATGTAAGGCTGTGTAAGGCAGACAGGACAAAGTGTCCGCTTAGGGCTTGTTGATTAGCTCCAACAAGCCCTAAGCAGACACTTTGTCCTGTCTGTCACGCCCCCCGCCCTCTCAACTCAGCACTATGTAAGGGAGGGAGGGCTGCTCTAGCACCCCCTGGCTTCTAGCCTGAGCCACTCAGGCTAGAGCCACTCAGGCCACTGTGGCCTGAAGTGGCTCAGGCCTGAGCCACTGCAGGCATGTGCCTGCATTTCTTCAGTCCAGAGGGGATGTCTGTATACTTACAAACTGGTTCAGCCTAGCCAGGTTAGACTAACTTGCAAAGACTGAATCAATCCAGGCTCAGGCTTTTTAATGTCTGTCCGTAGCCCTGTTGTGTTACAGATTTGAACTAGTTTCTGATCACTTACCTAGTGTATGTGTAATTTCTGTCCCTGGCTGGTGCTCAAATCTACAAATCCTGTGGTTTCAGAACACAATATCTGAGTAGTTATTTATGCTAACCATTCTGCAACATCTTTATTTCTAAAGTGAAAGGCCACAAAGCCCCTTGCTCCTTACAAATAATTTCCATACCGTACACGTCTCCAGAGCTTCCTATGTAACCTTATCTGAACTTTAGAAGAAGTGCTGTGTCTTAGCTAGTTATCAAGTACCAAGCCCATTGTTAGCACATAACATATAAAATTAGGCAATCAGAACATTTTATGATAGTTGCAACTTGATCTGTGTTTAAAGATCATTAAACATGAGATCAGGGACAATTCTGGGGAGCACAGAAGGTAAACAAAGCCAGTCTGAAATTTCTGCTCCTTCCCAAAGGGAAAAAGATGAGTAAAAATCAATTATGCCTGTGTAGGAAGGCAAACTAGAGCTTAAATATTTAAGGAGATCAGATTTACACCAACGTCACTTTGAATAAATTGTCACGGTTTATAAAGCAATCTTAATACTATGCCCTTCCTAAGAGCTTACTGTGCCTATTCCAGATGGTATTTCCCATGCCACAATGTTTTCTGCAGGCTGTTCTCCCCTCCCAACTCATTTTTCAATTCAGTTGCCAATTAGATGCAACACTCACTGTTAAAACTTTTCTTTTTTTAACCTTCCTGGATAATGGTTCTTTCATAGTTGATTATTTCACACTGTGCTCCTTACATTAGACTGTGAGATGTAAAACTTCGTATATTCAAGGCCATTAAAGATTAAGACAGTATAGAGACGAGTGTACTTTATGTGTTTTAAATATACTCTGCAGCTCTGGATTTGGGTTGGAAAGTTAAGAGGAGAAAGAAAATATGGTTTAGTATATAGAAAAGGAACATAGTTCCATAACAGAAATATATTGATTTTGCTGTTCAGAGCTGTGGAGGCAACAAATTAGGTGCCACAGAGATCAGAGTTCAAGACAGAGATATGCTCCATGCTCTCAACAGCAGCTGGAAAAGATGAGCCTTTTCCTTACCCTGGTTTTGAAATGGCATAACTCTACTGACTTCAATGGAATCACTCCAGATTTACCCAACTGGAAATGTGCAGAGAATCAGGATCACAATGCTCAAATCTGTCCTTACAGCCTGCAATGAACTGTTGCCAGGGTCGGTTTTACTATGGTTTGCATGCAGTTCCCCCGCCCTTTATAAAGGCAGGGCCATGGAAAGCCAAAAAATGCTAGGTGAAGTTTACAGATACAAAAACCTGCCATGTGCAGCTTTTCTTTGTTCTTAGCCCCATCAATAACAATTGGAAACTCAATGAAAGAAAATGTCTGACTAAAAAGGAACCTTGATTTGCAGCATTTAGAAGACCAGATGGAAATGGGGATCGGTGAGAGCCCGTTGAGAGTGCTCTCTCTGATCTGCTGTATTCTGAATGGGGGATGACATAGTTAAAGGACCAATAACAAGACGTTATGTTCACTGATATATTAAATTATTGTATGTTCTACGTAGTATGACTTTTTTTTTTTAAGCAGTGGACTCTAGAACCAGCACTTTTTTCCCCTTTGTAACTCACTTAAATGAATACCAGTACAAGAAAATATAAAAACCTGTTGGAAGGCTGCATTCTTCTAAGCAATCTTTGCCTGTGCAGTAAACCCTTTATAGAATAAACACTATGAAATGAATATAACTCAGACCCAAACTCAGGTCCAAATGCAGAGAGCTTTATATAAAATCATAGGCTTGTCATATGCATCTACAGAAATGCACATAAATCTTTCTGTGCCTTAGCCATCTGTTTTGCCCAGAAATTGCTTAATGTGCCATACAAACGCTTTCAGATGGATAAAAAGCTAATAGAGAACTCAAGGTTTCATAGAGCTGAATCTTACATTGAACTAAGTGCTATTTTTTATACATACCTACAGAGGCTGGCATCTCCCCCCACTGTAAAACAGTTTCTTTTGTGAAGTGCCCATATATATCCATTAGTATTGGGGAGGAGGATGATGGCATGTGGGCGAATAATTCCCTAGATCTGGAATCAAATTGTACAAAGATTTATATCAGGAAATGGATTGAAATTTTAGTGACTGCATCCATCTAAGAAGCTTGGCAGAGCAATAAAAACAACTGGCTCGCAACTCAGAGAAAGTAAAAGAAATCCCCATGTTAAGAAAGGCTATATAGTTTGCTAGATAACTTTCAGAGTAGGCTTCCCTGCCCTTTTAGATATTATAGTAGGTTTGTAAAGAAGTCAATGTTCAATATTTCACTTTATATTTACAAGTCTGCCTTGGTTTAAAGAGGCCAAGGAATATGCAAGACACAATGAGATTTACTGGCTTGTCCAAGAAAGGCTGGTATTATATGAAGCAGCAGAAGGCACGTAAGCAGTACTTGAATTCAAAATTGATTGTAGGTAAGAGCAGGGGGATAAGGGGAGTTGGCTGTAGCTTTGTTGGTCTAAGGATATAGGCAGACAAGGTTCTTTGGGTAAATCTGATATCTTTTATTAAACCAACTAAAATAGTTGGAAAAATTCTTCTTTGTAAATAAACTGTTGGCTATGAACACCCTTCATCAGGCAGAGGGAGCGTCTGCAGTTGTTTTGAGCTCTCCTGGATGGGACAGAAGCCAGTGTGCAAGGATGCAGGTCAGTGAAAGTGCAAATGCGTGACAGTGAGGGTCAGAGGGGCGAGAGGCAATGGGTGAGAGACAGGTGGGGTGGGGAGGAAAGGGAAATAGTGACCTGGTGACCGAATGTAGCTGGGGGAATAACACATTCAACCTCCTTGTTTTAGGAACCCAGTACTTGCATTTTCTCTGAGATTACCTTAGCAGAACTCCTGAGCTGAAACAACGGCTCATTAAAACCTTTTCGTGTAACAATATTTATGGTAGTTTGAAAGAGCCACCTGAGCTTTCTGAATGCAAGCATTTCTGCACGCTCTTTCCTTTCTTTACATACAAGATTCGTTAAAACCATTAAATGTATTCAGTGCACGCGCACCAGGGAAGATGCACCTCACACAAGGTATACAGGCAGCTGGGAGTGCTCCAGAAATGCTCACAAAAACCAACTCACTTCCCAAGTGAAAAGGGCTTTATAATAAGTATACAGCTATCAAGTTGGGATTATACAGAAAGTATTTTGAAGACAAGGCAACAAAAAAAAGGCCCCAGACAATAAGCATTTCTAATTCCTTTTCTAAAGCACTATCAGAAACCAGATCTTTCTCCTTTATCGACTTAAACATTGCAGTACCCCTGATATCAGCACTTTCACAGGACGAGACAAGTGGAACTTGACTGTCACTTTCACAAGTCAGCAAACACACAGATCTGTCTTTCCCAACATTTATGCATGCAGTCAGGGTACGAGGAACAGTCAAGAAGTATAGAAGCTGTACTTGCCAAGCTGAATACACTCAGGCCAACCACTTGAGTCCGTGTCTCTGCAACCACTATCCGTACCACTAAAACAGGTATCCAGAGCCGGAAAGCAATTTTAATGCGTTGCCTTGGTATTTGCATGAGCAATTGCAGCAGAGAAGAGATGGGGGGGAGAGACAGAGAGAGAGGTGGAGAAGGGGAGAAAAGAGCAGGTAGCGAGTGTATCTCAATTCAGCCTGTTGAAGCCTTTTGGAGATAATTATCTAGTCTATCAGATGTCTACCAGACAGATACAGCCCACTGTAGCAGCACATTTATTTCAGATCCAGGATTCTTAGGGGAAAATGTATTTTTAGTAAATGCTCTGTTACGGTGGAGCAGACACACCAATGGAGTTGCAGTTCTCGGAAGGGTGCCCCAAATTCAGGGTGTTCACCTGGGAAATCTTTTGAGATGTACACAATTATATCAGGAGTCTGTGGCAAAACTAAATCCATTAAAATGACTCGCCCTTTCCCTTGCCTTTTATCTTGGGTGGTAATTACGTTAATGATCTCTTTGACACTGAATTATTTGCCAGGCTTAGCCAAGATAAAGATCCCTGTGTGCAGACAATCCTGGGCAGATTAATGAACTGGTGTGAACTTTGAATGGTGCCTTAACTAATACAGCTATTAGCTGTTAGATTAAATAAACTACTTCTAATATCTGAATCAAATCCCCCCACAATATAGCAAGGAATTTCATATACTGATTAAGTATCAAGAAAAGTACCTGGTGACTGGAAACACTATTTTTGACAAAGTTGGATGGGTGGCCTGTTTGCTGGGTGAGATGGGGGAGACTGTGCGGAGTTGGGATGCTCTTAAGTAGGACTGCCCAGAGTAGGATACCATAATGGTAAGAGTTCATTTGGCCAGAAAATGAGGCTGTAGGATGCTTACAAATAAAACTAGTTTGGGGCACATGCTGCAGAGCTCATATCTAGATCTGGATTTCTCCAAAGCTCACAGGATTTGCTTCGTTCATATTGTAGCTGGGCTTTGATCCTGCGATGTAACCCAAACCGAGTACCTACGACATCCCCCTGACCTCAGTGAGGATGCGTGGGTCGCGTAGAGGTACCATAGCAGGACTGGAACATTTGGCTGCTACCTGCCCATATTTCTATGTGTTTCTGAATGCACTGTTTCTGGTTGAGGCCATTTCCATACAAGTAGACAGCAGCAGGCTAGAAGAAGGTTACAAACAGAATAATAGCACTGGACTACATAGCATCAGGCCTCTCGCTCTTTTGGAGGAATTATTTCCCTGTTGGATTATCTAAGCTTTTAGAGGTTGCTCTGGGCACTATGGAAACCAGTAAGTTTATTTAACTGGGGCTTCCATTTCAGGTGCAGCATCAGAGGGGCAACCCCCATTTTAAAAGTGAAGCTCTGATCTGGAATCACTTAAAAATGAGACATTGGCTCTACTCATGGGGGCAGCTATACCTATATCTGCTAAGAGACGTACGAATTGAGGCTTAAGGCTGAAGGAAACTTTACCCATACTTGGAAACCGACTACACATAGCTCCTCCTGCTAACATTATGGGTGCTCTAACTTGGTACAGCATCACAATACAAAGGTGGTATTCATCCAAAGATCAAACTGGCTTCTACAAACTGCTATGACATCCTTTCTGATCAGGGCCAATTTTCAAGTTAATATAATTATAATTTAATCAGCTTGGCATCAATACTAAAAAACTTATGAAGAGGCTAAAAAAATACCTAATTCACATAGCAGCTCTAGGTACTCCATTCCCAATGCGTGGCTTAGATGTTCTTTAGCAAAGTCATAAACTACAGAAAGCCTCAGGAAAAAAAGGGATCAGGCATAGGAAATAGATCATAAAACTGAATCTTGGAGACCTTAAAGTGCTGGAACAATAACACTGTGTTCCTAGCCCAGACCCTGTTTTTTCAGAAGATCCAAAATAAGGTCCAAAATATTCAGCCGGTCACTATTAATTGACATCCATGAGAAAAAGATGGAAATGACTTGATTATTTCAGGCGACAAGTATCTTACGTGGGTCGGCAAGTACAGGTCATACACAAATCCCGAGTCCACATCAATGGCGTGAAATCCTACTAATGAGCCATAGATCACTTTTAACCGTTGTCCATTTTCAACTGTCAGGTCAACTGACAGTGGTTTGTGATGAAATGAAGTGAAGGACTGAAAGAGAAAAATCAGGTATGTATTCCTAAAGCGTTGATAAGATTAACACCCGAGTGACTGGTTTTCGGTTCTTTTTATGATTATGACCCCTTTTCATGTGTACTAAATTTGGATGCAGGCTCAAATTCCTAAAAACGAGGCTCAAGGAATTACGTGTCCAACTCCCACTGACTTTCGTAGGGACTTGTGGCCCATCATCATTAAGGGCCCTTAAAACTCCCTCATTTTTCAAACAGGGCCCATTGTAAGAACTTTTGAAATTTCCACCCTTTTCATTCATTTCCCTAACTTGAGGATGAGTGGGGGAGAATTTTGTTTTGGTATCCAAACATATTTTCAAATAAGATATTACAAAAACTGGTCACTTCTTGTAAAACCATATCTGAAGTATTTATGAGACAACTGGCATTTGCAGTTGTCTAAATGGTCTAAATTTTAAAAAGTGTATCCACTCACTCCTTAATTAAAAATAAATGTTACACAAAGCAACACAAGCAGAAACGGACAGAAAGTGATAATGGCATGTTCAAACCGAGATGGCAGTCTACTCACCTTGAAAGCCATAAATTTGTGATACGGCTTTGGAGCCCAAGCATAGACTTCGACGGAGTTTTTCAAAGCAACAACAA